TCGAAGATATTTCTGTTGTGGAATTGGAGAGATGAACGGGCTAACTTTATAGCAACAGTTATATACCTTATTGATATACCTTAGGAACGTCCGCTGTTGTAAGCATGTTGATGGGGCAGGCGGTGGGGGATCTCTCCTCGAGCATCGAAGGATCTCCAGAGGGCTCTCGCAACGAAAGCCTCGTGCAGGACAGCGTCAATGGTACATCTGTGACCTACACTCCGATACAGGTCGCCTCTGCGCTGTCTCTGGTTGTCGGGGCTTGGCAGGTGCGTGTTCTGGCTAAAGGCTTGGGCGGGGAGGGGGGGGGGGATTCAGGTCGAATGGTCTTTGGGACTATTGTACCACGCCATCGTTTTTGCTTTCGTTTTTGTTCATAGTCAAGGCTAATTGAGTGAAAACACAATAACCTGTGTACGAAGTTGAAATTAAACCACATTATCGGTTGACTTTTCAAAATCCTCTTGAATCTAAAACCGCAAACAAACCCACACAATCCCGACCCGACCCTCAGTTTCTACCATCACCCACGTCTTCAGTGAAATGCCCGCAGATAGTGTTCGGTCTGCTGCATCTGGGAGAGGTCTTCGGAAGGTTCCTGTCTGACATGCTCATCTCAGGCTTCACGACGGGACTGGCCTTCCAAGTCCTCACGTCACAGGTCAAGTCCCTCTTCGGTATCTCGGTGCCACGACATAGCGGGCCATTCAGTATTATCAATGTAAGTTCCGTTCGTCCCTGAAATGAAGAACATTTTTATATGTTTTGAAACTTTGCTGTTGATAATTTAAGTTTAATTCGGCACTAAAATTAAGAGAAAGAAATTGTAAGATTTTGCTGTGGATACAAATGGAAAGAAATACTATGGTGTTGATAGTTGCAATATTTTTGCTTCCAGACGTACGTGGATATCATCAGTAAGTTGCTGTCAGCCAACATCACTGTCATAATTGTGTCATCCATTACGATAATCATTCTCGTGATTAATAATGAACTCATCAAGGTAAGCGTTGCAAGTTCATGCAGGGAAATTTTGTGTCTGTTCTGCATTATCACCATCATCATCAATATTATTATGAACATTATTTTTTATCCTTATTATTAATATTGTTATTATAATAATGATAATTTGATTGTTATTACTATCATTATTATCATTGTTATTACCATTGTTATTATTCATTATTATTATTATAGTAATAATTATTATTATTTCTATCATTATTATCATTGTTATTATTATTGTTATTAACATTGTTATTATTATTGTTATTAACATTGTTATTATTATTGTTATTAACATTGTCATTATTATTATCATTATTATCATTATCATTATTATTATTATTATTATTAATATTGATATTATTATTACTACTATTACTACTACTACTATTATTTATTATTATTATTATTAATAATATTATTAATACTACTACTATTACTATCATTATTGTTATTATTATTATTATTATTATTATTATTATTATTATTATTATTATTATTATTATTATTATTATTATTATCATTATTATTGGTATTTTTACCATTCTTCTTCTTCTTATCGTTCTTATCATTATGACACTTCGAAGACTCACGCGCCCTTCCCCCCCTCCCCCCCTCGCCCCTTTTAGCCCCGGGTGAAGAAGATAACGAAGCTGCCCATCCCGATCGAGCTGATGGCGGTGGTGGCTGGGACCGTCGCTTCCTTCTTTCTCGACCTCAACAAGAACTATAATGTCCGTGTTGTTGGGGACATTCCGACGGGGTGAGAGCCGGGCTTGGTGTTCAGATTTTTGTTGTTGTTATTAATATCTTTATTGTTGTTTTTGTTATTATTATTATTATGATTGTTATTGTGATTATTATTATGATTATTATTATTACTATTACGGTTAGTATCATTGCCATTATTATTATTATTATTATTATTATTATTACTATTACGATTATTATCATTACCATTATTACTATTATCATTATTATTATTATTATTATTATTATCATTATTATTATTATTATTATACTTACTATTCTTATTATTATTATAATTATTATCATTACTATTACTATTATTATTATAATCATAATAATAATTATCATTGTTGTTATTATTATTATCATTACATCTCGCGTAACCCTCCCTCCCGCGCCAGCCTGCCCTCGCCCTCGGTCCCGCCCCTGGAGCTGCTTCCTCGCCTCGTGGTGACCGGGTTCATCGTGGGCCTCGTGGGCTACACCACCACCTTCTCCATGGCCAAGCTCTTCGCCAAAAAGAAGGGCTACGCAGTCGACGCCACGCAAGAACTCTACGCTCAGGTATACAATGCGCAATTGTTGTTGTTATCACCGCTGGCGTTTGATTTCAGAGGCGGAAAAGGAGACGAAATATATAGAGGAGGAAATATATACGTAAATGGAACTATATGATTAGCTATGTTTATGATTATGACCTGAGTCCTTCTCTTTTTTACTTTACTTCATTTAAATCAGCTAACAAAACTAGGTAAGAGATGTGATTGAGGAGTTACGATTTCGTCTTCGTCAAATTTACTCCAAAGGCTTTATGAAGTTATCCAATATACTTGTATACTTATTTTCTACAAACGTCACAGAAAGCTTGAATGAAGGTCAGCTAATTAGTACATTTGGAGTAGGTAGTCACAGAAATAAAGACAAAAAAGTAACGAGTATCCATGAGCAAAACTATATACGCTCAGACGTCCTTTTTCCCACGCAACCACCAGGGCGCGAGCAACGTCTTCGGCTGCTTCTTCTCCAACGGCCCCGTCGCTGCCTCCATGTCCCGGTCCCTCATCCAGGAAGGCGTGGGCGGAGTCACCCTCATCACGCCTTTCATCTCCTGCGTTTTCATTCTCCTCATTCTGCTCTTCGTCGGGCCCTTGTTCGAAACTCTGCCGAATGTAAGCGGTTGATGTTTTGTGTTTATTTGAGCTGCGTTTATTAGTTGTAATATCACTGTTGTTGTTGTTACGTCCAGTATTTTAACGTCTATTATTCTTGTTCTGCACAGCGCTTTCATTTCTGTGTTCCTGTTACAGCCAATGCTTTTGTTTTTGTTATGGTCAGTGCTTTTGTTTGTTGTTACGCTCAATGCTTTCCCGTTTGAGTTCTTGTTATGTCCAGTGCTTTAACGTCTGCGTAATTTTGCATCTACTTCTTCACCAGTGCGTTTTGTCGTCCATCATCGTGGTGTCTCTCAAGGGGATGTTCCTGCAGTTCCACGAGCTAGTGGCGCTGTGGCCTGTCTCCAAGCTGGACGCCATCATCTGGGCCTCCACCTTCTTCACCTGCGTCGTCATCAACATCGACTACGGCCTGTTTGTGGGCATCGGGGTATCCGTGCTGGTGCTCCTCTCCCGGTCTCAGAGTCCCTCGCTGCAGCGTCTGGGTCGCGTTCCCGGGACCGATCTATATCTCGATTGTGACAAATACGCGACGGTGAGTTCATTCGAAGGACGGCTGGTCGCTTCTCCAGCTCTCCTTCCCTATTTCATTGCTCTTTTTATTTCACTTTTCTTGCCTTTTCTTTTTACTTTTTCCTTTCTGTCTCTCTGCCTGTTTGTCTGTCTGTCCGTCTCTCTCTCTCTCTCTCTCCTTCGTGCTCTCTCTCTCTCTCTCTCTCCCTCGTGCTCTCTCTCTCTCTCTCTCTCTCTCTCTCTCTCTCTCTCTCTCTCTCTCTCTCTCTCTCTCTCTCTCTCTCTCTCTCTTCTCTCTCTCTCTCTCTTCTCTCTCTCTCTCTCTCTCCTTCGTGCTCTCTCTCTCTCTCCTTCGTGCTCTCTCTCTCTCTCCTTCGTGCTCTCTCTCTCTCTCTCTCTTCTCTCTCTCTCTCTCTCTCTCCTTCGTGCTCTCTCTCTCTCTCTCTTCTCTCTCTCTCTCTTCTCTCTCTCTCTCTCCTTCGTGCTCTCTCTCTCTCTCCTTCGTGCTCTCTCTCTCTCTCCTTCGTGCTCTCTCTCTCTCTCTCTCCTTCGTGCTCTCTCTCTCTCTCTCTCTCCTTCGTGCTCTCTCTCTCTCTCTCTCTCTCTCCTTCGTGCTCTCTCTCTCTCTCTCCTTCGTGCTCTCTCTCTCTCTCTCTCTTCTCTCTCTCTCTCTCCTTCGTGCTCTCTCTCTCTCTCCTTCGTGCTCTCTCTCTCTCTCCTCTCTCTCTCTCTCCTTCGTGCTCTCTCTCTCTCTCTCTCTCTCTCTCTCATTCTCTCTCTCCCTCCCTCTTTTTTATACTTCAACCAGGACGGTCTCGTCCCCAATCAGATTATGAAAGCCTAATTATTATAATAACTCATTCAAACTATGTCCAAACCCTTGATTTCCAGAGCGAATGTCACCTTCAGAGAATATTATCTATTATATTTTCTATTATGTCCTTTTTACAGAGAACAGAAACAGTAAAATAACTGCTGTCATTATAATGATAAACGTAATGGTCTAGGTAATGCCTGGATTGCTGATCATATAGTAGTGATAATTTAAAAAATCAAATGGTAGTTTTAAGGATAATTATAATGATAATGATCATATCTATGGCTATATAAACCATTGAACATGATAATCATGATAAGCTATAATAGCAATAACGATTATACTGATAATGGTAGCAAATATAATGATTTGAATATTAATATCAGTGTATATAATTATGATATTTATAGTGGTTGTGATATGGATTGCAACGTTGATATAAGTGATAAGAGCTGTGACATTAATGGCAGTGATTCTATTGCTGCAACTTCTACAACCAATAATACCGTGGAACATATTTAGTTATATGATTATAATGGAAGCAATAACAAAATAAAGGATGATAGTAACTACGATACTAATAGTACTGATAATCCTAATATTGAAGATGTGGCAATGATATTAATAACGATATCATCAGTAATGATTATACTAATATTAACCATTTTCACAATAACTTCCAAGCACCAATAACAACGAGGAAAACAATCAAACAACCCCATTAACACAAATATCTCTCGCAG